TCTCTCTCTCTCTTTCTCTCTCCCTCTCTCTCTCTCTCTTCTCACAAAAATTTCTTTCCTAGGGAACAATATATATATTTTTTTTTACGTCATATAACTTATTCTTTACATCAACAATTCTTAACTAAAATAATTTCAATGAAAAATTCATCTTATTTCTCTCTATATTTAAGCTCAAATCAATTTGACCTTGATCATAGTTGATTACTAAGAAAAAATAAAAGAAAAAGAAATTTTTCTTTTTTTTTTTTTTTCTTATTCATTTTTTTTTTCCAGATAAGAGTAATGTAAAATAAAAAGAACATATTCAATGGATACAACATTTGATAATCTAGTAACAACGGATGCTCATTCAGGTCTTATTGTAACTTGTGGTATTCCTCTTTCTTCATTCATATCTGAAAATATTATTAATACATCTCATGAAGAATTTATTCTTGATCTTAGTCAACGATCAACAACAACAGAAATAATAAATAAAAATCAATCTATAAATATAATTAATAATTGGGAAAATAATTCAATATGTAATTATACAGATTCAATAGATGATGATTTTAATAAAATATTAATATTAAATAATGATAATAAATTAAATATTGAACAATCATTAACTGATCAATTAAAACATCATTCAATACAAGATGATTCATTGTCAGATAGTTCAAATAGAATAAATCAATCAAAAATTGATTTTTATTATACAATGAAAAAAACAAAGTAAAGACACTTTTTATTTATTTTTAAATCATATAATTTTGTTTTATTTTTTTTTTTAAAAAGAAAAAAACCAAATATTAATTCATCATCTAATCAAATAATAAAAATTCATCAACTTGAACCTTGTTTAAATTCTTCTCATTTATCTTCAGTAAATTTTCTTTGGTCAAAATATTTATCAAAAATTGATGAACGATCTGTATCCGAGGAATTTTTTGATCATTATTTATCATCAATACAATCTGGTTTTGAAATTAATATGAAACTTGAATATTGTTATGATATACAACGTGATTTATATTGGTTAACACAAATACAATTAATATCACATTGTTTACTTCTTTTACATTATGTTGGTTTACCTGATGATGATACATCAAATGATTTTTGGGCTTATATTTATGAACAACGTTGTCATCCTATTGGTTGGTGTAAAGAAAATAGTAAATTAATGTCACCACCATTGATTGTTACTAAACGAGCTATACAACAATCAACATTAAATAATAATTATATAACATCAAATGGAAATGATAAACAATCAAATATAATTAAAGGAGATACAAATAATATTAATCAAACACCACCTTCTTATTTATTTGATAAAGTAAATATTTTTTTTTCTTCTTCTCAAATTAAATAAATATGATATTTAAATTAGATTTCAATACTTTTATCAAATTGATACAATGAAAGATTGAAACATATTTTGAAACTCTTCAAGTTTCTGTTAAGATTTTTTCAATTCCATAAACAACCGTTCGACAAATTATAATTGAATATCTTTCTTCAGAATTGTATAAGGTTCAGTTTGTACGTAGGATGAAGTGCGTTTTTTTTGCAATAACTTTAACACTTGACTATAGATGATTCAAATTTAATGATGAACTTTTATTTTGATACTTATGAGTACAGAAGTAGTTAACCATGTGTTTTATCCGGCTTGAGAGATGATGTTCCAATCGATGATCGATGTCCTAAAAGAAAAGGAAAAATTTGAATAAAGCACTTTAATCAATTTTACTTCTTGTTTCCTATACTTATTTGTAATTAATTGTGATAATTATTTTAATTTTAGGAAATCGGTTTAAATGCTTGTGAACAATTAAAAAAAGGTATGTTACTTGAATTACAAGATGAAAATCGTCCATGGACTGTATGGTTTGTTCGAATAATTAATAATCGTGGTGGACGATTACATCTTCGATATATAACTAATGATAATGATGATGAAGAAGAAGAAGAAGATTCAAATTCATCTTTATTAGATATTCATATATTTTATCTTGATCGTCGTGTTCATTTAATTGGTTGGACAAAAACTAATTGTTCAATTTATTTTTATGATATTCCAACATGTTTAAAATTAATAATTGATAAAGAAATTTTAATTGATATATGTTTAAATAAATCCAAAGAACAATTTCTTCCATTAAATTTATTTAAAGAACAAGAAGAAATTATTAAACATCGTTTTATTGAAGGAATGAAATTAGAAATATTTGAATCAAATAAACAAAATATATTTATTGGTAGAATTGGTCATATATATAATGAATATTATTTTGATGTTATTATTGATAATGATAATGATAATGAATTATCATTTATAGCATATTCAACACATCCATATATATTACCAGCACATTGGGCTGCTGAACATAAACTTGCATTAATGAATGGTAAATATATAAGACAAACAGAAGATTATTGGAATTTATATACTGAAATAAATGGTATTAATAATTTAGCACCAGAAAAATATTTTAATTTATTAACATTAAATACTAGTGGAAATAATCGTGTTGAACCTGGAATGAAAATGGAAATGATATATACATTAAATAATAAAGATTATGTTTTTTCTGTAACACTTATTCATATTGCTGATCATCTTATGTGGTTAAGAGTTGATGATACTAGTTTATTTAATAATAATGAAAAATTATATTATCATGTTTTACCAATTAATTCATTAAATGTTTTTCCTATTGGATGGGCTAAATTTAATGGATTTGATTTAATAACACCTATTCAATATGAAACTAATATTAATACATATGAACAAAATCGATATGAGTAAGAGACCCCATGAACATGACTTAGTTTTAGACGTCCTTGTTAACAACTCCATATGAGATCGAACAGTGAATATCTGTTCATGAAGATTTCTTGTTAGAGATGAATTAATTAAATTTCAAGTTCATATCTAGTTATATAAGTGAATTAAGAACTGATATATTTAATTGTAATTGATTTTAAAATAAAATCTAGAAAGTTGTAGAGTTCGCCAGTGTTCTCACTTGACATTTAATTTGTCTTAGCAACATTTGACCAAAAGTAAAACAAAGGAAAAAAAATTTTTAAACTTATGCTTTTTTTTTTGAATTGTGTCCATATGTCAATGTTTATTTATCTTTAAATTTGACATTTTTCATAGATCATATGGAATGTATAAATATAGAAATACTCTTAAGTTTTATTGATTTATTTTGAAAGTCAAAAAAAAAAAAATTAAAGTTCCAATATTGTGCAAAATTAATTAATTAAGATAAATCTTCTATTACGGAACAAGATTTTATATAGAAATATGACACTTTTGAAAGACTTTAATCCTTAGATAGATGAATAGCAGAAAAAACAAATGATTTATTTTTTAAATTATAAAAAATATTGATTGTTATTATATATATTTTTGAATAGTTTATTTTCATCAGTAACACATTATCCAAAAATTCCTCGTGTATATTTAAATGAAGTTTATTTATTAACAATATATGTAAATATTGAATGTTTTTGTGGACCACATTTTTGTTCATCTCGTCTTGCTCGTATACCATCAAAATTTGGTCCAGGTCCATATCGTCATGTTATTATTGATATGTTTCATTATCTTTTATCAACATTATCAACAAATGCTCATCGTGCATTACGTCGATTAGATCATCAAATTAATTCGGAAATAATATCAAATCTTAAAACTGAATATATTAAAGCAGCTAAACGATCATCAAAATTAATACGTCCTATATCAATACCAAATGAACCTCGTTCAGTATATCATTATCTTCGTTATATATGTACACAATTAGAAGCTTGTCCAAATTTAATTAGTATGATACATATTGACAATCATTGTCCAGATAAATGTCATATATTAAGTAATACTTTTGGTATGTTAAAAGTTATCTAGGATAGATGCATACTTTTACACTTTTACCCTAGAAAATATTATCATTGGAAAGATTATATCGAAATTTTTCAACGAAGAATACAGACTAATATTAATTCAAACAATAAACTCAATCATTTAACACTTAAAAGCCCAAGAAGGTTTTTCTTGCAAAAAAAGGAAGACAACGAGTTAATAAATCATCAGTACGCTCATACTATATCTAAAACGAAGTACTTTGTCCTTCCTCTAGAGTTATACAACGTCCTTTAGCAGAAATCTTGAACCTTTCAAAAACCTAAAAGAAATGAAATTTCATCTAAAACCTCGCCCTTAATCAGTTTATAGAATCCTTGAATTGTCCTGAAATTTTCAGTCAAAAACAGATGCTTTGTTGTTGAGATATTGGTAGCAGAAAAAAAAATCGGCAACATTTTTCAAAAAACTGATAAAATCCGTCTTCTCTTCAACATATTGTATTTCCAAGAGTAAACAACAATTGTTGCTGAAAATTTCAGGATAATCTAAATAGTGTATCAGCTATTTATGAGCAAAATTTCATTTCAAAATCTCTTTGTTTTGATTTTTTCTTGAGACGTAATATCCGATAGAAGAAACATTTTCTTTAGGATAGTGTTTAAACTTTACGAGATGATTTCATCAGATACCTTAACACTATGTTTAACAATATCACTTAAAAAAAAAAAAACAAAGCCACACGTCGCTTATATGAATAAAAAAAACTTTAGACAAGAAAAGTGATGCTAAAAAAATTACGAATCGTCAAAGATTCATTATTCGGCTTATGAATCACTTGAGAATTATATTTTCATCTCTGTATGATTACTAAGGTCATGTCAATTCAGAAAAATGTTGATTTTTGCATATTAGCTCTTGTAGTGGAATTTATTGAAATTATTTTAATGTCCCTTGGAAGGGGAACATTGGGCTCTTAAGGGTTAAGTATTTCCCGCATTGATCAGCTAATTTTTCTATGAATGAATTGAGAGTATATATGAGTGACAATATGACTGATATAACCTGCACTCTCACCCACCTATCGATATCCATATACCCTCTACGTTCAGACATGATCAACACTATGTCGGATGGTTAGCTACTAAAGCAACAATAAAAATAAGTATAACTACAAAATTTTATTTGAAATTCACATATAGAAGCTGACAACTTGTTCAGTATATCGGGCGTTCATTATCTCAATTTCTATTTGTGTATATACTTGCTCAATATTGTCATTTTCATGCTTATGTAATCTTACAGAATAATTAAATAATGTCGAATGTCTAAGAGAAAATAAATTTCTCAATATTACCGGTATGTGTTTTTTTGTAAATTAAAATAACATTGATTATTTTTCTAAGCAACTCTAAGATAAACGTTCTTGTCGAATTTTAATAATTCCATGTTTTAGTTCTTCAACAAAAAATATCATATTAATGCTACTTTTCCAAAACAATAAACATTGATTATTTGAATAATTTAGATTTTAAATTCATTAGATTGTTTAATTAGAAATCATGTGAATCTTTTTTTTTTTTTTTGTATTTCCTTCAAAAATTTCTTTAATAAGAAGTCCTTCTATATTGCAAATTTCTCAAGCATACAATTATATTTTCTTTTATTAAAATAAAAATTAATTTAATTTTGTTATTTACTATTTCAAATAGCTTTTTCTATACATTCAAAACATAAACGTTCTCAACTTCGTGCTGCACAAAATCGATATCGTAAACAAAAATCTTTATTATGTCATTTAAAAAATACTTCAATCCCTTCAAATGTATCAAGTCCTGTTGTTGAAGAATTACCAATATCAGAAATTCAACCAACAATAATTAATACAACTGATATATTACCAACAATATCAAATCCATTACCTGGATCTGATAGACAAACACGTGGTTTTCGTGTTCATATTGAACGTAAAACACATAATGTTACAAGAACAAATAAAAAACAAAAATTAATTAATACAAATGATAAACCAACAATTGATATTAAACAAGAACCTATTGAAATAAATAATGTTACATCTGAACTATCATCATCATCAACAATAACAACAAATCAATTAATAAAAGGTTTGGTTTTTTTTTAATTAAAACAAATTCTTTGTTATTTATTTAAATAAGAATTTATTTAGAATCTAAACGTTCATATATATCAAAGAAAAGACGTTGTCCATCTCCATCAATTGTATATCGATCAGCATCACCTATAACATTAAATATATTATCTTCAAATTCTAATCCATCATCACCATCAAATAAAAATAAAAAAAAACGAACAACACTTTCAACATCACAATCATTAAATGATCTTAAAAATTGTTCAAATGTTCTTAAAACAAATATTGAAAGTCAAAATTCATCACCATTTATTCGACCAATTCAACAATATTCAATACCACCACCACCAATTGATCCACGAAATCCAGTTACATGGAATGTTAATGATGTTTGTTGGTATTTAGATAAATCAGGATGTTCATTTGCATTAAAAACAATTAAAGAACAAGTAATTTTTTGTTAGTTTTATTTTAGTTTTTTTCTTTTTGTATTTTTATTAAAGGAAATTGATGGTGCTGCTCTTCTTCTACTTGATGATTTAAATACAGTTCAAGATTTATTAGAATTTAAATTAGGACCAGCTGTTAAATTTTGTCATGTTGTTGAACAACTTCGTACACAAGTTATTGATACATTTCATTCATCACCATCATTAAAAACTTCATCTCGTTTATCAACAAATTAAGTTTTCTTGTTGCTTTTTGTTTTTCTCTTTCTAACAGTGTCAATATATTTCTCTGTATTTCAAATCAATATATATATATAAAGACTCTAGTTTTCTTTTTTCGTTTTTCTTTTTTTTTGTGTAAATTTTCAATTGTTCTGTATGTGCGATATAAAAAAGACAAAGAAGAAAAAAACAACATCAGATAAATTTCTGCTGTTTTGATTTGTATTGAATCTTAAAATTTTTTTTAGATGTCGGCTAAACCTTCAAATTCAACAGAAAAAATGAGTACACGTGGTGCAACATTTGAACGTTCAAATGTTGTACGTGATCCAGTTACAGGTGAAACATTTATACCTGGTACACAACGACCTGATGGTACATGGAGAAAACCAATACGTGTACGTGCAGATTATATTCCACAAGATGAAATGCCTGTATATCAATCTATGGGACAACAAACACAAATAGAAACACGAAAACGTATTGAAAATGGAAATCTTATACCTGGTTTAATTTTAACTGAAGAAGAAAAAATTTTACGTGCAAAAAAATTAGAAAAAGAAGAAAAACAATTAAGAAATCAAATGACTAAATTAACAACAACAACAAAAACAACAACACAAACACCAGAAGATAATAAAAATAAAGAAATGAAAAAAATTCAAAAATTATTAAAAGAAATTAATGTTTTAGAAAAACGTTATAAAGAAGATTCATCAAGTTTAGATAAAGATCAAATTACTAAAATGAAAAGAAAAGATGAACTTGAAAAAAGACTCGAAGAATTAAATGATCAAGATTTAGAATAAAAAAAAAAAAAAAAAAGAACTCTCTTTTTATTCTTGTCGCATTGTTTTTTTCTTCTGCATTTTCAGATAAAATGAGTCAACCAAAAAGTATTAATACACGTGTTACAGATGAAAATTCAATTATTCGATCTTCTATTCCATTACAAGTATTATGTAATATTCATCGACCTATTATTTTTCTTGTAAGATTTTATTTGATTTAGATAGAAATTTATGTATTTATTCAATCCATTTTTGAGAATCAAATTGAAAGATTAAATTATTCATATTTTTCACATTGAAAAATTGTCATATATATCTCTTGTATGAATTAAAATAACAGAAAAGGTTACTATTTTCTAAGTAGAATCCTAAGAGGCAAACGTTTTTTTCATGTTCTAAATCTCGTTTGTTTTATTTCATGTTATTTTCCAAATGTTATTCCACGGGACGAGACAAACAGAATATAAAACTGTCTCGCAGAACTCTTTGTGTAGACAATACAATATGTTCTATAATCTGAGTAGAGACAAAAAAAATAATGTTTGGTGAAAATTTAGTTAGTCTAGATAATCAGCATATGAAGACCTAAGGGAATTTCTCATGGTCGTATTTTTAATCAACACTGTGAATATTTTTCAATCTACTTGCCTTCGGCGAGCAAACGATTGGTCTGTTAAAAATGTTTACTTCATTAGACTGATTAATGCTTTTATTTTAACTTATACAAGTTAAATAAAAATATTTAGTAATTAAAGCTTATATAGCCAATATTAAAATAACCAATAGTAATGAATAATCAATTCTCATTTAATTAATTTATATGAGATCGTAATCTATCTACATTTCATTGGTGAATGTAACAGTCTAGATAAGTTTTCTATAATAATTCTTGAAATCACTATTCCTCATTGCAAACATTTAAAAAAAATGAAGTTTAATTTTAGTAAAATTATTTTGAATATTTAATTGATTATAAAGTTGACAACTATATAAGCTTTAATTAAAATAAATTGATTTCTTATCATTGATAAATGTAATACTTATAATGCATGATCAAGACTTATCGATTGGAATGTCTAAGAAGAATTTCAATGGGAGTTAAGAGCAATTATCACAAAGTTTTTCTGAAAATTCATCCTTAGAACTCAATAGATCATCGATTAGAGACGTTCTCATCAAGATCTTAAGCGATTTTGACAAGTTACAGTTAATTAAAAGTAAAACTGACATGACTAAATTTTTAACAATATTTCAAATCTCAATCAATTTTAATTCCAAAAAAAAAAAGTTTTGAAACTAATTTTAACAGTTTCTGAATTTCATTATATGTTCATCAAATGAGAAACTATACTTGAAGCTCATGAACTTGAATCATCACACATCTATTATAGATTTTGAAATTCAATACAAATAAATCTATTTATCATCTAGAGAAATAGTAGTTTACCTGAAATATATCATAGACCTCTTCACGATTTAAACATTTGATCGAAGACATTGAATTAATTCTTTTATCAGTGATAGGCGAATGTTCAAAGTTTTCTAGCAAGAAAATTCAACTGTCGACATTCATTTCAATACAGTATTGTTGCATTTTCTACCAATATAAAATGACATAAATTACACAAGTTTCACGTCTATTGCATTACCACTAGTATATCGTCCTCTAATAGCACTCATAAGATAGTTGACCATTTAAGTATTAAACTATCAGAAAATATCGTCGGTATAACACACTTGATACTGAATGATCTACGGACAGTTTTTGTTCTATGTAAATCAAATGAGAGATTCATTGATGTATACGCACAATTATCTCATTTGTTTTGAGATTCGAAGTTAGCCTCTCGTCTATCTCAATAACATTGTATGTACAGTTTTCGTAATAGTGAACATGAATATTTGCATTGACTTATTTGACCACCTTTGTCTGTATTCATTATTTTGACTTGCTGAATAAAGGTTATCTTGACTTTTCTCATTGCTATTCGACGTTAAAATAATAAAAAAACTTGCCTGAGTAAGTGTGCATTTCTTTCTCTTTCGAATCCGTGAACGATTATAATCTGTATTGAAGTGAATTTTGATAATTGATAGCAATGTGTATGAACGACTTTTTTTTTTTACGGAAAGAAAAACTTTCAACACTTCTCATGGATACAAAAAATTAGTTCAATACGTTTTAACTGTATCATTTGAAAATAAATAAGTAGATATAAATAAATATTTGTGTTTGAAAATATATTCTTATATTTTTAGTGGTTCGTTGCTGAAATCTTAATATTTGTCTGGAAAGGTCTTATTGGATGGCCATCCGATTGGACAATATATGGTTTTGAAATATTTGCATTATGTCTTACATTAACATTGGAATATATTCGTTTAGAATTAATAATATATGCAAATCTTACTGAACAATTATTTCATATATTATGTGGATTTTTATTAACATTAATATCAATAATATCACTTCTTTATTGGACAATATGGCAATGGCTTGTATTAAAACTTGAATTTGTTATTGGTTGTAGTCAACTTGGTTTTTGTTTATGTGAATTAATTCTTGTCATAACAGCATTTATGTCTTTTTGTAAGAAACCAACAAAACAAAAGACAGCTTAAATGATCAAATTAGTATTCAATTTAATATCCTTATGTAATAAACATATTTCCGTCCAATTCTTTTTTTTGTCTCTCGTTTTCTTTTTTTCTACTAATTTACTTTAAAGTTTTTCTTATGTAACATCTCTATTAGAAAAAAAAAAAAATTTTTGTTTGTTTCTTTGTTTGACAAAAATATAAATCTCTTTTTCTTAGGAAACAAAATAATCTCAATTGAATTCTTTTTTTCATATTTTTATTTTTCAAATCAATTAGACAAATACTTCGAATTGTTTTCTACTTCATCTTTTGAGATATCAATAGATCTGAAAAGAATTGAGAAAAAATAACAAGGACGGATTAATGGACATAACTCTAGATGATTGTTTTTTTTGTTTTCGTATTTCTAATGAAAATATTTGATTGAGAAATATGATTCCTTGGTTATTATTTTGACTGAAAAATGAAATTCAGTAATAATTGATGAATCTAACAAATTACAATTAATCGAATCCTTGATATTTGATCTTAGAATCTTTTATTCAGACTCATAACAGATAATAGTTATATCATATGAGTAAAATCATCTTTGTTTTTTTTGAATAATTATAAAAATTGAGAATTTGTATCTATGTTAATATTATTCTTTATTTAATTGAGATTTACTTCTAATCAGTAAATAAAATCAGGTTTATGTCGGTAGTAGAATTTCATAGAGATGAATGTAATCTCACTAGCGTAACAATGTAGGTAGCTAGTGACCTACGATTTTGAGCAATCGGAAGAGGGAAGGACTTGAGACATTTTTTTTTGTCTAATACTCTATGAGACAAACTTATTTTAAAAACCATTAACTTCGCAAAATACTTTAAAAAATGGATGAAAACAATCATTCGTTGCAAAGAAATTTAAAAAGAAAAGTCAGAAAATTTGCTAAAAACCAAAGGAATTCTACATTATTTGATTAATATGATAGGAAGTTTTGTTTGTTGAATATTGAGAAGCGAAAATGCCGTACTTCAGCATACACACTGTAGTTTTGGACTATGTCATAACTGTGCATCAGATTTGTTTAACTATTTCAAGTTCTCTATCGATCTGTGTTACGGTGTATTAACCAAAGTCCAGCCTGCATAAGTCTATCTGACAATAAAGCTCAAATACTTCACCGTACTCCAATTTTGGAAGTACAATGAAATATTGGGCTTTAGGGTGAGGATGGCTTACATGAGCTGGACTCCGGTGAATATATCCTAACACAGGTCGATAAGAGACTTGAAATAGCTAAACAGATGTGATGCACAGTTATGGCTTAATGTGGAAGTACGCTGAAGTACAGCATTTTTGCTTTTTTCTCCTTGACCTTGGATCATTGATTCGAAGTTCTTCTGTTTGAGGCACATGTTAAAATTGATATTGGAATAAAACATCATTTTCACTTTTGTTTGCGATAATAATGAACTTTAAAATAATTTTGTTTAATAAGGTATCAGACAAAAATTCGTTCGAGTTTGTCCTCTTTCAAGTGATGAAAATCTACAAATGACTACTTATGACCGTTGCCATACTATTACGCTTAAATCGATCCCTATTTAATTTTGTCGTAAACATTACTTAAGATAGTTCTTTGATAATCGATGATTAAAATGAAATAGAAAACAATTGATAAGTTAAGTTATACTATTCCTTAATCTATATTCATGATAATTATTTTAGAAAAAATACTTCCATATAAAAAAAACATCTGTCGAAAAAATGTCAGATATAATACTTAATGGTCCGAATAATGGTATTCGTGAATCATGGTCCGAAGAACATCTTATTCAAGCAATTGTTTTACTTGAAGATGCATATTCATTTCGTTCAATAGCACATAAATTATCTCCATTGAATATATTAAAACTTTATCGATTATATTGGTCAAAATGGATTCAAAGATTATTAACATTAATTGTATCATGTCAATTATTTCTTATATTTATTCAATATCCATCATCATTAAGTCGAACATCCGATTTAACAAAACAACCAAAACGATCAACATTACCTTGTTCTATACAATTAATTATTGAATATTTATGTTTAATTATATTTTATATTGATGCTATTATTCGAGTAAATCATTTTTATTTATTTATTTATTAAATTTCATTTATTTTATTTCATATAGGTTTATTTAATTGGAATACAACATGCTCGAAAAAAACCTTGGCTAATATCATATTTTATTGTAACAACAATATCAATGATTGATCTTATTATATCTACTAATTTAGGTTGTCAAAAAAAAGTTAGATTAAAAAAATATTCTTTTCTTTGTGTTGTATTATCATATTGTTTATATCTAGACAATTAATATTCGATATTTACTTCGACCTTTTTATATGGCTTTTATATCACAAGAAATGAAAAAAGTT